AAGCATAATTTGCACGCCAATTTGGTCTGCTGGCACAAAAGGGAGCAGAATCAAAGGAGCCACAGGCTACGAACCTTATCTCAGTAATCAGAGATGAGGGTTTCCAAAGGTAGGTGCTCGCTTCCATCAACGTACCTAAGTGAAGTCCCCACTTGCTTATCTCGGACTCCACGTAAGTTGGCGAAGAAAAACAAGATGAAAGAGATTGTTGTGTCATAAGTAACCAATTATGAACTTCAGGACTGTGGTGCTTGATTTGTCTCTGAGGCTTATTTCGTGATTCCGTACTGATCTAGAATCTGATGCAGAGCCTTTGCCTTATCCAACAACTACCAAAGTCGATTTAAGAAGTACAGGTTTGTAAATAACTCTTCAAAACACTGGAAATCACAATCATTCCAGAGTACGATCCAATTTCCATGTATCAGCCTTACGAACTCTAAATTAAGTGATGAATATGGAGGGAGGTCGTCTAAATCCTGGTCTAGTTTATTCTACGTAAAAGAGCACCAAAAGAGGTGCAGAATGCAGTAGTTCAACATCACCTGGACTACTTTAGTAGCGAAAAAAGGTGTACAAATTCTAAAAAGCATTCTTGATGGAATTTTAGGAATTCGTCATTCGCAAATGCATTGAATGGAAACTTGAAAAGGCCATTTTTTGTGCATGCAACTAGTGGTGGTGCCCTCGACGATGGATTCTGCCCATTTTTCAACCAAGGTGAATTTCCATCTCTTTTACCACACCCAGAGGTCATATCCTTAGGGGCAAAGGGCAAATTTTAATGAATGTGGGCGATTTTGCATGATCTTAGCTAAAGTAAAGTCATGGGCCCCTTAAACGTCCCACACGTCCCTCCCCTAAAAGTGGATCTGATTCACCAACATCTGATCCACAAGGGAAGGCTCGACAATTTTTTTCCATTCAGAAAGAATTATTTACAGAGATTCTCAACATCACATTCTCAGAAAAGGTGTATAATAGGAACCAAGACTTGTTTCCTATGGTTCACAGTTAATGAACCCATCTGGAAAACAATAGGAAAGAGGGAATATCTCCTTCATCAAAATCGTGTATCTCACTTCATCATCAAAAGGTAAATAAAGAGATCCTAGGTCGCCCAGATTAATTCATTGTGTTTGACGACGCGTCAATTCCTACTTTTCCAGTAGAGTCATTAAAATAATGCTTCAACGCTGTTGTCATGCGAAAAATTGGTCCAAGTCTAAATTGGGTAGTGGCATTGGCAGCGACAGCAACACTCAGTTGTATCATGCCAATTCGCATGCCAATTAGAAGACGGTGAAAGAGGGGCAAGAAGAGGTGTCAAAACACGCCCACGCATTGGCTGAGTCACTTCAATCTTCACCTGCCCCTTCGTCTAGCACACTATTACTCCCACTGTTGGGGTGACGGTGGATGAGGCGGAGAGTTATCGCTGTTTTAAGGTGGCGCGGTGTGGACCGGAAATCCGCCAACTGGGTTGGGCTGAGGAGCATCGAATTTTGTCAGGGACACCGAAGAAGAAGGCAATACAATAAACAGGCGTCGGCGAAATGCGCGAGTGTACGTGCTAGCGTATATGTATGAAAAGGAGGGGTCAGCTCCTCCCACATAGTGAACAATCGGGTTTCAACCTGTTGGCCGCCATGACAACATTGTCAGGTGAGCTACCACGGTTATGCGATCTAATCAATCAGCCAATGGGCAGTCGTATAGCCAAAGAATTTTGTAAACGTCAGCTTAAGTGACTTCACGCGTTCGGTACCAGCAACGCACAAAGGCGACGCCCTGATATTTGCATTCGAGCTAGGCACCACAAATACTAAACTTGTGTTCTTGAGTCGCTTAAGAAAACGGACTGAAACAAATCGGATTTGTTGGGAATGCAACAATGAAACAGATGTAAGATGTTTCTGAGCTATGAAACATCCAGGTGGCTGTAATAGTCAATTCTCCTCTAAACTCTTGGTCACAGACGCTTTCGAAACTGCAATCATCCTTAAATAATCCGGAGTCTTGTTAAATATCCTTTTCGACCTCAATTCGTTAAGGTTTACGTTACTCTCGCCTGTGTGGTACTGACCAACCAAAACCATCGGAATTGCCGGGATGTCTGCCAATTCCGACATTCGTCGTGGCAAGAACCCGACTGCTATGCGTGAGCCTCAACAAAGTCCACTCGACGTTTACTTGAACAAGTGCTTTATCGCTTCGGGACTGGGAATAAAAGAGAAATCCAGGAAAGCCACATTCGGGTCTAGAAGTGGCTTTAAGAGGATGTGGGCTATTATATTTTGGAAATGTCATGCCGTACCATGTACTTCAACATTCCGCCAATGTAATATTTACAGCTGTTAGTCCCTCTTGAGGACTGTTTTATTGTGACTGAGGCAATAATACAACCAGGAGCAGGTAATAACGGCAGGTAATAATGGCCCACCTCTACCACCGACACTCGAACTTATCAATTGGCAATGGAATGTACGGTAAGGCGCTTGCCTTTATGCCTTCAGGAGGGGGGGGAGGCGTGATGAGTTATCGCTTAGCATTAATAACCAAAAATACTGTCTGGAGCTAGCAAGCATTGGTATCCCTTCACTGTGAGGCAGTCAAGTCGAGGGACTAACAAAAAAAGTAGTTTCGTTGATAAGATGGGGTAAGTTTCCATTAATTGTAACATTGCATGAGCAACCCACACGCATACAGAACGACCCGTGAGGTCCTGGCTTAGCATCTGTTGTGAAAGGCGCAAATAAGTGGCCACGTGAGATGCACAAATAAGAAGTTAAAATGGAGTCATATGAGGGGCGCATGAATCATATAATTACAAAGCTCTGAGAGATTAGCCAGCTACTGCTACATTCACCAACTCAAATACTCGTTTGAATGAAACAGCACATTGCTACAAGGAAATGTCATTTACCTGATCCTATCACTCCAATGTGATCTAGTAATGGAACACATCCATTGGAGCTCACTTACCGCGCCATGTTGACAGGGCGTTGAAGTTATATCTAACATTCCTTCACATTTATAGTACGCATGGATCTGAAATATGCATGTGCAGTTGGTTTGACTAAAGTAGGCTTTTTAAGGTCAGAAAGAGAATTTTTTTGATCCAGCTACTTCCATTGCCTGCTGCAAGCATTGACGCGAGTAAAAATGAATCTACTCCTGTACTTTTAAGGCTGGTCATACTTCTGTGTGGATCTTCTAGTTAGGTCCCCCAACTACTCTGCCTATTCGTAAACATTGAGAATCGGTTGCGTAAAGACCACCTTACTGCTTATTTCTACAAAGCATGTGAAATGGCTTTTTCTTAATAACGAGAGTTGCCCTTATGCAAAACCATTTCAGAGCAGACTTCCGCTAAACATTCGGTGTTATTCCCTACCTGAAGGCAAATAGACAGTTTAAAAGCTGTTATTGCTTGTTTTATGGCGTGAAACCCTCCACATGAGACGAATTTGTGAGCAAACATTTTATGCGATTCAAAAAGGCAAATACTTGTTTTTACTTTCGTCCAAATATGTTCATTCCTCGCGGGTAGAGCGCCATAGTCACATTGCAAAAAGTCATTAAGTAGGAGAGATAAGATCAAAAAATCACTGGAATACTTTTAGCACATTTTTCGCAACATGCCAGCCAAAAATTAGCTTTACTACTGTTTTGCACCCAAAATGTCACTTGTCTCATGACTGAGAGACATCTCCCTACCACTAGTCGGTCGAATAGCCAGACCTACGGATCTAACTTTAAAAAATAGTTTAAAAGGTCTTGGAAGAGGTTTGATAAAATGACTGCTAAGGGTTAGAATTAGGAGAATGTTTGAATCAATAGATGTGCAAATTTTGGGCACTCGCATTTGATTGGAAGGATATCCGACGACCACCACACCACTCATGTGCCCAATGGAGCATGAGTGGCACTCTCACACCGTGCAAAGACGGCATTGGTTTCAAGGTCATATGCGTGCGTGTGTATGTGTGCATATGTATGCGTGCATGCATTCACTCACATAGCTATCGACGCTCCACACATTTCACATCTCGCGTACATGTGCAGCCGCATTCCTATTCGACGACCTTGTGTGCCATCCCGTGTTCTCATTGGTTGACGAGCAGGAATTCAGCCCAGCAGGTGTATAAATAAACGCATCTGCATGCCATCCAGCATTCTTTTTACTGTCACTGCGTAACGATTCAGCAATGCGAAGGTTTTACTGCTTTCTCGGATTACTATTTATTCTCGTCTCCTTCACTACTGCTAGACGTAAGTATCGAATTAGCATTACCTGTCAACTTTGCCCAAAGCCGAAACACATCTTACGTTTCCTACTTTGTGCTTTTGTAGAAAGCCTCTATGTTAAAAATCTCAAATTCTTGCCGCCCTGTGAAAACAACTCGATTGATGAAAGTAGGTGTGAGTTTGGGTTATGTAAAGTAACCCTCTCTTCCATATTTAACTCGGGTTTGGTAATTGCCTCTTTCTTTTGCTGTGTAGGCACGGGGAATTTCAAGTGCATGGTCAAAACAGGGGCGGAGTGTTTCGCCCTCTGTCAGCAGCACGGCTGCTTTGAGTGGTCATTCACCTCATTCATGGCCAGTACAGACACCCAATTGCACCCGCACTATCGGTGCCGGTGTGTGCAGAACATCTGCCTCTACAACTACGTTCGGATTAAGGATCGGGCCTACTCTTGAGTCGGGGTCGGGATTGGGCTCAGCTCCGGTGGCAGAAACAGCCACAGTGTCCGTGAATGTCGGCTCCATCCACCGACCTGATCCTTGTCACGTTTCCGGGGGGTGGGCCAAAATAGCGGCTTTCACACCGAACGACGGACTGGAAAGTTCTTGCGGCGGTCAGCTTCGGGTGTCATGACTACCATCAAGAGTCCAGACTGTCTTTACACCCCTGCTACAATTAACACCGATTCTGTTTATGCGTGTGTTGATGCATTTGTTCTTCACTAATAATACCACTTTTGTCTCGAAACAAAACTGTCTCGTTTTTTGGAGAGAGGGGCGGGAACTCAGGCTTGCCGATTTTCATAAATGAGGGTGGGGTTTTAAGGAGGGGATGCTTATGTTAGAATGGCTGGAGTCTGACTTACTTTGGCAGACAGCAATGCAGGTACTTGAGAGTTATAAGAGATTAGAGGCGTAGGTGGGACTGATGTCGGTTAGTCGAAGTGGCTTCTAACCGTCTTCTCTTTGCCTTTCTGCCTCATCCGCACCTTTGTTCTTGCCAAAAGAGAAGAAAGATGAGTGGGTAAAAAAAGAAAATTTCCGCTCCCTAATTTTGGCGGATGTTTCCGTGATGATGTTAGATACAGCCTACATGCGCCTGCTGCTATGACGTCAGGTGGAGAGGACCTTCGCCATCGGGAAACGCCTCGTATCACCTCAAGCGCGTGTAGGCTGTACTAGACCCCTCTCAAAAACCACTCTGGCTCGTGATAGCCTTACCACCTTTCATACGAGATAGCCACAATTTTTGTACTACCGCAATAACTGAACTCTTGTTAAATCGTTTGCCTTCCTGCGTTGCAGACGTCTAGGGCGAAGTGGTTCGACGATGGTTCTAATCTGAGGTCAAAATGGTCAGACATGGTGAAAGCCAGTCAAGGTTGTTGGGTACTTTCCTACGCAAGCAGCGAATCAACTTAGCTCTCTTAGCGTCTTGTGCGTTGGTACGTAGCATAAAGGATGGGAGACTAAAACAAGGTAAATTCTAGGGTTAAATCTCTTCATATTATAAAACTTTCCTTAGCTGGGGAGCATCATGTGGAACGGAACTTTCATCTGACTTCACTTGATTGAATAAGCGGGTAGCTAAGTATTTAAAATAGCAAAAGTTCTTGAGGCGATGTAGAAACTACCGTCAGGTTATGGCGATTGCGACCGCTAAAATTGGCAACAAAACAGGGAGAGGAAAATAAACCGAGATTAGGGATCGAAACGGCAAACAGGTCCCATTGTTTAAAACATCAATATGAAGGACAAATTAATAGCTGAACATAAAATGGATAAACAAATACTAATAAAAAGAGTTTACACGGGAGTAAGTGGAGGAGATGCTGAGCACAGGCCGAAGGGTAAACAGGGTAAGAGGCCGATCTTTAGAGATAGGTTCTAACTCACCCACACGAGTAGAGTAGGTAACGTGGGTGAGAGAGGAAAAAAAGGATGGATGTCACCGTCTCATCTGACAGCATGCCCACCTGCCCACCTACCCTGTCTCCTTCCCTTAGGCTCGCCTCGCCTCTTCCTTCTCCACTCCGATCCCATTGGACAGCGCATTTGACGCACCACTGGAGCCGCGCCATTTAAGCCGTCCAGCGTCAAGTGCCTCCCACACACTGAAACAAACGCATCTCAGAAATGGCTACGGCTCAAAGGCTTCTCACCGCCTCTCTTCTCCTTATTTCGGTTCTTATTCCGCTTATCTCAGCTCGCAGACGTAAGTCAGCATTCTTATTCCATCTCTTCCTCCTTCTGCCAGCAGGCACTCCACACTGCCCTCTCCTCCCCCTCCTCCTCTTCCTTTCAGCGAGCTACTACGTCCATGGACTGAAATTTTCTCGTCCCTGTGAAAACAACACCTATGATGAGAGTGAGTGATCCTCATGGTAAATTTTTAACCGGTCCCCACTGTCACTCCATTCAACTAGTCACTGGTGATCGCTTTTCTCCTCTTCTGTTGTAGTGACGGGAAATTTCAAATGTACTGTGCCGACGGGCGCTGAGTGTTTCCAACTCTGCCAACAATACGGCTGCTACGAGTGGTCGTTCTCCTCTTTCATGCCTAGCACTGACATGCATGTGCGAGATCACTTTCGCTGTCGGTGTATACAGGATATCTGCCTCTACAACTACGTGCGAGTCAGGGATCGCGACTACGAGTGATTCGAATGACCACCACTTAATGATGATACTCGCCTACTACCGCTGCTACTGCTGCTTCGCCTGTAGGCCCTTGTGCATTTTCTAACCTTCATTTTCTAAACGGAATAGAACATTCTTTTCCCTTCCTTATCACTCCTATGTGCTTTGGTGGAAAAAATGTTAGTGATCTAACAAAAATCTAGTTCACGCCTTTCCATTTCACCAGAGACTAATGTATGAGATGAAATATACCTGCTTGAGTCGGCAGTTCTCGTTCTAGATCAACTAAGATCTTAACCATTGTACTTATTCGTCACCTCGATAATGTGAATGAGCTGGAACTATGCATCTCGAAGAGGGGAGGCATATTTTAGACCTCGGGGCTAATAGGCCCATCGGTTAGGTTAACCAGTCAGATGGCAGTTTTTATGAAAAACTGGATTTATTACACCATAGTAGTAAGGAGAAACATACTTTTGTAGCCTGGATACCAAAATCAAGATTATGCAGTTAAACCTTGTTTAAGGCTAAGGACTAGAGATTGTTCTGACGTTTTTACACGGTTATTGGAGGGTGTGGCTTCTCCTATGTTATATTCACATAAATACACAAGCCTACGCTAACACACACACACACACCCCTCATAAGTTAGGATTCACATAACTGACGGAATTTATTTATAGGGATAAACACAATCAAGGCTAACTTACTTGCTGCATTGGGATAATATGGAATTCTCCAGAGCAATCTGGAGGCTCGGATCCGATTTACACGCGACACTTGGAAGGACTTATTAGAATATGGAAAGTAAATTGGTTAGACGGCTTCAAAATCGTTGAGGTGTTTAAGCGACAAAACCTTATCCATCTCAATTTGCTTGACAAAGCAGCTCAATAGCGGAAATTTCGGTGGGTTGCTTTAGGGCTGTACTGCATTAGAGTATCGAGGTTAAATTTACCTGAAATACACTTTAATGGACTGTTTTTGAACGAAATGCAGGGGGGAGGGAAATACCGGCTAGACGTAGTCTATTATTAGAAATGCTCTGAAATGTCCCATCACCCTTTCACACCAATGAAAATAACATTTGTTCGGTAGCATGAAACGTAAGTTCCCTCGCTCTCCCTCCAAATTTTGCGTTTGTTTTGTATTCTGACAGTAGTAATAGATCACCATAACAGCTTTTTCACAATTTGAGTAAATTAGCAACCCAAGGACTGCATTATTTGGGATCCCTCTTGCTTATTTATTAACCATTGACAGGATTATCCGCCTTGAAAAAAAGGTGACATTGGAACTGCAAATTACCCACTCAATCAAACAAATCAGTGCCTGTAGTCATGTGGGTAATGTGTTTTTATTTCATCTTAAGCAGAATTTCTTTTGGGGCCTGGAAGTGTTACGAGACAGATCGAGGGCCGATTGGGATACAGGCAATGGGTGAGGGTCTGGAGGATCAAGTGCCAGTCAGAAAAGTGAGGCAAAACGTGGCTTCTAGGGGCGAAAACTCGAGTTCACATGAGATTGGCATTTCGAGGTAAGGTCAAGGAGCCCCTTGTCAAGTGTTGGTAAATAACATGCATATGCACACCTCGGCTTATGCTTCAAGTGTGTGAAGGTTGAATAAATCAGCTCTGGAAGGCCTTATCAGCGCCTACACAATCGTAGAAAATCGACGGCGAAGATAAAGTGGGGAAAAAAAATTCACTTTGTAGTACAAACGACGGATTGACGCAAATACTGTGGTGTGAGGGGTGACGATGGCTTCGTGTTTTTAAACTCGGAGAGAGCGGAGCATAAAAAGTACACTTCACATCCACTTTACTTCGATTCGTCATCGTCGTAGTTTACTGCGGACATTCAGGCAGGCAAGGAGAAGAGAAGTGGTAAGTTGATACTTTCTTGAACCGCACCTCCATTTTCCTTCACCTCCAGGTTTTAAATTTGCAAACCAAAGTATGTCAGCTTGATAATGACGTGTGGTGTTTATCCCAAGGTCCTGAGTGAGGGTGGTACGGTGATCGCGAACTCGTTAATAATCTAAACACTGTTAATAGCTCAGAGGGAAAGAAAATTTAACACCTTTGATCTCCTCTAACCTAATTTAAATGAGGACGCTTTTATGCATTCAAAACTTCACAGGGACTTGTTGATGCGTGAAGCTCCGGGTGAGTATCTGTAAGGTAGTCTGCACGAAGGGAAGGAATGCAACGAAATGAACAGAAATTTGACATTTTTCTCTAGCGATGCTTAACGTTGCTCTCATACAATAAATCCTGAATCCGTGGTTCACACCACTTATATTTTGATCTACTAATTGATGGGTTCCTCAAAAAACACCTAATAATATAAAAGTTGAACACTTGAACATTGGGTTAACGAGGACTGCTTGTTCCAAGCCTGGATTTAAAAATAGACAAACCTGCGTGAGGGAATGGGCGATGGTAGAACAGGAAAAAGAGGGACTTTAAATGCCTGTGTGAAGACAAATATGCTTTCACACCAAATAGTTAATAAGCAGGCGGATTAATTTGACCTACTGGCTTCATCAACTGATCCCAAAATACCCTCCTTTTGACGCAGTTTTCCTCCAGATAAAGCCAATTCGCCATATTCCTACGGTGAAGGGGCCTCCTGGAATGCTAAATGCGTTGCTAGGGCTTAAATTGGCAAAATTATTTTTTTTCTCCCAATTATTTCGTGCTGTGCATAATCTGGAATTGAGGTCAAGGCAATTATGTGAAAAGAAAATTACCGAATACCACCTAATAGAATCCTAGAGCAGATGCTAACCGCGAGCTTGTAAGTTGATTAAATCCGGAAGGCGGGATGGTAGAAGAAAGGAGGTAGAATTTCAAAGATAAATGCCGTCAATAACAGTTCCAAATTTGTAATAAAACTATCATCTGGTGAAATGATTAAATTAGAGGTAGGAAAAATCATAATTACATCCAGTCATTTTCGGGAGAACCAGTTATATTTGGTTGGTTGCAACGCTGCTGAATTGCCATCAGCGTCATGTAGACGGACTCATTTGAAAAAAGATTTAAAATTCATTAAAAAATGTGGTTTCTGCAAATAAACTCAAAATTAAAATAAATAATTTATTTTCAAAATTCAAGAATCATTTGAACTGCTTTTGCGAACAAAATATGAGCAAAGAGCATTTCGATTATACGCAGAGATGGAAATTTTAAGAGACTGAAATTTGATGCTTTTAAAATTGCAAATTCGGAATATTATGATGTAAGGGTAGGGACATGAGTCAGTCTACCTAGTTTTTTCAAGGGGACAACCATTACATTTGAATGGTTGCCACATACTACTGAATTGTCATCAGCGTCATTTAGGCGGATTCGTTTAAAAAAAGACGCTAATTCCATTTGAGGAAATGCGGGATTCATAAATGAACTAAGAATTAAAATGGTAAATGTGTTTTTAAGAACAAGAGCATCACTTAAATGGGTTTTACAAACAAAAAGGCACAGAGAGCATTGTGGTTTTGTACCAGAAAATGAAACCTTTAGGGGACTAACATTCGATTCCTTAAAAAATATAAGCATAAAAATGCAAAGTGATTTAACTGGAAATAAGAGATAGCACTGATACTTCGAGCGTTTTTACGTAATGTCTAAATGGTCCCATGGCGATAGTTCGCTTCGTGGCAAACCCTCGATGAAGTCGACATGCGCCAAAGGAGTATGGAAGAACGCATAATACCAACGTCCAAGAGGGGTGGGGGGCTACTGGCACATCCTAAAGCCATGATACTGGGCAAAAGTATGACTCGCCGAGACTAAGGTGCCCGCGCAGTCAAACGCACAATTAAACGGGCTATCAAGTCGCCACGTGTCCACTGTGGCAAAGAACACTAAATTAATGTGTGATTTTTTAAATAGATTTAAACTTTTGGGTGGTGAAATCGCAAAAATGGAGGTAGCTGGTGGCCTACGTATCTTCCTCATCTATGATGAATCAATGCAACCCAGTGAATGATCTTAATTCTTTTGTAGAGGTAGAAAATTTCCAAATCGGTTATAATAGGTTAGAGTTACGACCGAGTTAATAACTGAGTCGAATGGTCTGTAGTTTGGACATTTTTTACCACTAGCCACTTATAAATCTCTATTTTGGATCAAATTGTGAAAAATGGGATACTTATATAAGCAGAAAAGGATGAAAGGGTAGTCACTTCAATTCTGCTTAAGCGAGTGGCAGCGCTGCCTGCCGGTAGAGATGTGCGCCCTTGACGCAGTCTAGACGCTCCCCGGGCATTATTCCAGGGTCACACGGACCCGAGCCGCCAACCAAACCACCTGCGAAAGTCCAGGTGTTGACTGACTAGCCTCTAGACACTTTCAGTAAAACAAAATGACATACTGCTGAGAGGCAGTTCTAATGAACTACCAAAAAAATAACTCTGAAATGTGTACACACACACACAGAGAGAGAGAGAGAGATCCACATATTCGAGCTAGGAGTTAAAGGTGTCCTTCAGGACTTTTTTGATAGGCATACTGATTTCGCGGACTAGCTAAGTGGAATTTGCGTTCATCTTTAGTCCCTATAAATAGGAATTTGCCAATTGTTTTGAGATTCAGCAGCCTTCCCTCTTTGAGGCATTGTCGAGGAACCTTAACCCCAGCTAAAAAGAAGCAGCTACCTCTCTTAGCTTTTAAAAGAGTCGATTCATGAGTAGGAAATATCAGCTGCGTTGCCTAAGCTAATAGTGCCTGGCAATTCAGCTGAGCGTATAAGGATTTGATTGAAAAAGTCCCCATTGTGGTTACGTCGTGTTAAGTCCCTCGTAATGAGTATCTGAAACATTTTAACAGATACGGTAACAGAGACGAGTAACTTTTGAATTTTAGTGGAGTTGCATGAAGCTCCAACGCCCTTGTTTTGTGTATGGGTACTGCTCAATTATGCTATCTTCGTTTCGGTGATTTTTGACGAAAATAAAGGCAGGAAAGGAGAGGGTGGAGCCTAAGCCCCACCAAGGAAACGCAGTTCGGCTAATTAACTCGAGTTAATTAGAGGTTCCAGTGTGCACACTTATCAAAGGAGTTCGCCGCCTAAAAAAGTGATTTGCAAATATTTGTCTTTGGCAAACCGATTGTCTGATGTGACGTCAATTGGGCAAATATTGGGGGTAAATATATCTTCTCGAGTGAGACGGTGTTTGAGTCCTCATTAAAAAAGGGATGAAATATGCTGCTTAGAAAAGGCTGTTATACACTGGTCGTTTGTTTAACTATCGTTCCTTGAGGATTTTGGCATTGCTTGTGGCTCCCCGGTCCTTCTGTACGTCGGTAAATATATGTTATGCCCTAGTAGTATGTCTTCTTTCATCTTCGGGAAAGTCTCGGAAAATTTCAACCATTGGCTTCTAAGCCCAAATCTAACCTTAGCAATTCCACTAAGATCACTCAACTTCTGTAGTACCTTCATTGCTTGTTTAACTCTGGGTTCTGGTAATGTTGCTCTTAGGGATTAGCAAGGTGGACTGGCCCCCCGGCCATGGCAGTATCCTTCCACTCCCAGCCCTCCTCTACGTCAGCAGTACACATTCTGCCGAGTAGTATGTCCTCTTTCGTCCTCAGCGAAGTCTCTGGGCTCTAGGAGACACCCCTCACCTGAACCCCGATTTTGTAGTCAACCGATTCCGTATCCTCACGCACTTTTTGAGTGACGACTTCGATGCAAATTTCCAAGGGAGTGCGACTCTAAACTTCTCATCTAATTCACCCATTTCATAGCATTTGGGTTTTCCTGAGATCTCTCGAAGGAGTAAAACTTTCTACCCTTTTTATCGGTTCTGAGTAAAAAAATCTTTCATTTCCTTCCCCCTAATTAGCGTTTTATGCGACAAATAAGAACCGATGTGATTTTAGGCACAAATCTTGATAGATTCTCTAAGAAACGGCAGAAAGAGTAATTATGTTTGCCATACTACACCGCCTATGACAAAATTACGCACTCATCTGGCCGCTGCAATGTTCCATCCCACTTTCAAAGGAATTAATTAAGCATTCTAATTTTTTTTTTCGAAAGCGAAAAAGAATATCTAAATTTAGCTTATTTGACACTTTAGTGAAAGCTGAACTTAGAGCTATAAATGATCACCATGTGGTGGCTTTTTCACTTTCCTGTCGAATGTACTCCCTATTACTTGAAATAAATGAGTCTGAACGCAAAATTTGGGAATGAGGCAGAGTAAAAAGCATTCTTCTCAAGGAAAGTCAAACAACTTCATTTAGCCGAGTGATTAGGAATTATCAGCCCTTCGAGACTACAGAGGCCCATTCTAGTTTGGTGTCTATCATGTACGGGGTTTGCCTCAATCCTGAATGATAGAAAAATGTGATTTTTGGTGCAAGAAATATCATTTTAAGATTTAGTCATTCATTTTTTGTGCGACATTTGATCGTCTAAGGGTTTTTGATTAGGTTTTTATTTATTTCTAATTTAAACAGAGCTCTGTGTACATTGGGTGAATGATTTGTGGACGTTGAAGTGCCACGCCCACAAAGGCGGAATTGGAATTCAACACAACCTTGGTTCATGACGGGCTACATCACTCCGTAGGTGGTTTCTGACATCACGTGGTAAGAGTTTACGAGTGGATGAAATATCCACTGAATGCGCTAATTCATTAACTTTCACTCTGCATCACGTGCTGGAGGCGTGGTCAAGGGACCGATTGTGTAATCTATCACTCCTCCTCCGTCTTCACGCCAACCTGTCACAGCTCGCAGTACGACAACTCGCCTACCTTCTGTACATTTAGCGATAATTCTCTCTTGGCTTGTTAGAGCCATAAAATCTCCGGTTGTAGAACCGATAATTGTAGTAATCAGCTAGGCTGCCTTCTTCACTTGCCTCATCCGATCAAAGCACAAATGGTGTGTAACTTAAAGGTGCTTCTATTTGCAGTGAATTTCTGTTACTCTAGATGACAGAATATCGCAAAGCCATGACCTCGTATCGTGTGTTTGGGACGGGATCACATAAAAATAGTGGGATGAAGTGAATTAAACTAAAGGGATGGGTTCGTCACACAGGCCCACATTTATATTCCTATCGGTGACAAGTACAAGGGTTAATCTACCGATCTATCTATTTACCCACTTATCCATTTTATCCATTCCGTATGCATCCGATCCATATCTATCCACCCCATATCCATCCATCCATCTATCCATCCATACATTACCTACGAAGTAGGCTCAAGTCTAACAGAAATTTTTGATTTTAAGGGATGTGATGTTTAACTACACCTCAAATTTCATACATGTTCACACCCAAAACAAACTTCTGAAACAGCTTCGCATAGTTAGACGTTGGGATGTTCATTTGTTCAGCATCAAGGTGCTTCAATAAACGGGGGAGAATGTTTCAAAGGTGGCAGTTCCTATACCAATGCAGTTCCATCACCAAAGTGGTCATTCAGAGCCTTGAATGTTTAGTTTAATTCCCCATATTCGATGGACGCAATAACTTTCCATGAATTCTCCCGATTACAAAGCCGCTTAAAAGCATGTACACTTTTGAAGGCGAGATCTTCTTGGGCATGAAGGTAGAAAACCTGCTTCGAGTCTTTTCCAGACAGTAGTTAAGCACTGAAAAAATGCAATGAATATACTCAAACACCGATTATAAATATAAATTAAGCTTTCACTCTTTAAAATGTCCCTTTGCTTGTTGTTATTTGTAATAAATCCCGGATTGACTTGAACCCCATTCGCATTACCGACCGAACTTTTTCAGTGTGGGTGTGTGTATGTGAACGGGTGGAGAATATCCGGTCATGGTGATGGAGAGTGACAGCGAGAGAGAGAGAGCAAAACAGATAATGATACAAGAGAGGGTGTGCCTGTTGATGTAAAGCCCCATGTCCAAAACCTGGTTCCTCGGGGTGTTATGATTCTTGTCTGGGACCAAAGTAAAAAAGGTATCCTTGTGGAGGAGGCGAAACCTCCTTTGAAGGTGTGTGAGGCCGTGTTGATTGAATAACCAGAGATGCCCTGACTCATATTTAACACTTCTTAACAAAGGATAGGAAACATAGGTTTCCATGAAAATAAAGGAAAATGAGGCTTAAGTTTAAATTTTTTAGTTTTTTTGCGTTACTGATCATAAGACATGACTATTTGACAACTTCAGGTCAGCCTACTAGCCGTGTTGCCTAAAAAAGCCGATTTTCTAATTGGCCATCCGAGATCTACAACACCCGTGGTTTTGCCATGCACTGATTATAACAGCGGGCCATAAGTTACCTATTCATAATAGAGACAGGAAGTCAGAAAGACCTTCCAACAGCGTTAATAATTCCTGTGTACAAAATTAATAACTCGCAAATTTGGAGGTATTTTTCAGAGGTGATTGAGTCAGACTTGTACATACCCTAATCGAAGTAATGAAGGTGAGCCTTAGCTACATGACTCCTGAGGGTAAGGTATGAAATAAATATAACGTTTTTGGTTAGGGAAATGTGCTTAATTCACCCAAAGAACTAGCTATTGGTTCTAGGTGACGTGATAGGGTCAAATCTAGATGCGAAATACCTTACGAATTGGTTACTCCATTCATGGTTCCCTGAGAAAATTAACATCTCTCAAAATAATTTAATGACGCAGCTTGATAACCAGACTTTTAGTTCTAGGTAGCTTTGGGTGATTTAGGTCTGTTTTTGTTCTCATTGAACCACGTAGTGGAGCTGTAGCCAATTCCTTACTAGGGTTCCCCAATCTAGTATACGTTCAGGAAAGGGATTCAAACGACAACTTGCTACAGTAAGCAGCCTTCTACCATTTTAAAAGTCAGAATTAACAAGAGTTTCCCATACATAGGTGAGAGATTTCCGCCCTTTTGGACAGTTAGATTTTTTTTTTTTTTTTGAATAGTAAACCGTCCTTTGTGCAGACCTAGTCAACTGCACTGGCGGAGGAAATAATTTTCGATCCACCACTCTAGCGCAGCTGAAAAAGTAGACCTTTTGCAGTTGACGCAAATCTGATGGCGGTGTATGCATCGACAGAGGAGATAATGCGATCAGGCTGGTCGGTGGAATTAGTAATATCCTTCAGCCACACATAAGAAAGGCTTCTTGGCGGGCCTCTAAGCACTGAAAAAACAGTATATTGGTTTTTACCCCAATTACAGTGGAAGAGGTGAGTGTGGTCCAATAGAAATGTAAAAAATACTGTAATTCCTCCATAATTTCCATTGGAGATGAAATAGAGTGAGAACTCTATGCCTGCCTAGATCTTAATCTCAGACAGTTTATCGGTGAGCCGGATGTTTACTATTCATAGAGCTTGATCGGGTCAATTGTCAAGCCACACTTTGTTTGTGGTTTCAACTTCACTTCACTTCAGGTGGTTTGTTTGTCTCCCGTGACTGTGTGTACGTGTGTTTTGTAAACCAAATACGTTTTAGTGGAGGTGTGGCCCATCTTTTGTTTACGCACGGTTCCATAACCACCCTTGACTGCCTTGTTGCGACTCCTGTTTGTCTGCCGCGTTCTAGAACTGATTAGACCTGAGCGTCAGGATGGAGACACTTCCAAATGATTTCATCGTGGCGAGACTAACTTCCGATCAGGCTGTTGAACGAGGGACTACCTAGGCGTACACTGAAAGCCACCTTTGCTACAGTGCCCACTGTAGTACATGAATACCCATGCGATGTAGGTGCATTAGGGGAGATGGCAGAACCTACCCTACTTTTCAGACCCCGTAATTACCCTAGCTGATGGCGTTGCTAGTTAACGTTGCTGTAAGCGCTTTTGAATTGTCCCTCATCCATGATGCGCCGGTAATGCCAAATTCAAAGCTAAATTTTTTTTTCGAACGCTAAACTAGTCCCTGTTCTGGCTGATGAATAAATGAAGAACTCAAACAATGGACGCCTATCCCTTGCCAAAGGCTACTTTAAATTTGAGAGATTTCGCCTCTTTTCATTGGTATACTTTGGAGGTTTTTACTGATGAAATGAATGGTTAGGGGATAAGGCGCATCGAATTAATTAACACTATTTCCCGTTCATACTTAGCTGCCTGAACAAAAATGACGAAGTTTTCACAACAAAGGGGTAATTTTGGGAAAAACAAATTTTTATCAAAAATAATGCCGTGCCGTACTGTTCTGGTCCCGGATCAGTTACAAAAACACCCGAAATGGAATGCGTTTGGTGTGTTGAATGCTGGTTTATGCAAAAAACGAAGTACAAGCTCTTCAACACAACTTCTGTTTTATTGAGACACCTTGGATAAAATATTATGGAGCATATCTTTGATACCCCATTCTTAGGCACAATTCACACACTCACACATGAAATTAGAACCACTTTTTGGCACATTAGAAAGTAAATTTACCTGTAGTTAACCAACAGTGAACTTCGAATGGACTGTAATGCTTCCTCAATTAAACATACAATTGTTTTACTCTATCAAAAATAGATTTCGTAATGGTCCTTTTAGTATTTTAACCTTCCCCTTTCAGTGGAATTCACCCCTCGTTCTGTTAACACTTGACTTAAGAAGAAAGAAATTACTAATTTAGGTGAGTTCAACATTAAAAGCTCGCCTTAAGTGAGTAAAAGCGGGTAGGCCCGAAGCCCCTCCTATTGATCACTGGTGTATTTGCATTGAATTAGCACACAATTTCCAGCGCGTTTTTGCCCTCGGTCCTGGTCAAGCCGAGTCAAGTCACAAATCTGGGTCAACGAAAGAATGTATTTACGTGTACCATTTCTTCGTCATCGCCAATGTGCATAACCACAAGATGATGAAATCCCTCTTCACAATTTCAACAAACTGTTTACTCCTGTAAACACCCACTTTGCATTCTTATTTCCGCTAAATCTCATTAAATTTTACTCCGATTAGGCACAAAGGAACTATTTTGCTGGCGTAAACGAACTTTGTTCTGCCTCAAAGCCAAAGGTTTCTTGAAACCGGCAAGAATCTGCACGCCCCACTGCTGAAGGAATCACATCATCTATCGGGGCTTCAATCTTGCTGATAAGAATGTAAGTTATATTTGATGCAACTTTAACTTTGAAGTTTGCTCATGTAAATTCAAAAGAAGTAGAACCACAATTGCGTGGCCTTCGCTGATTTCTCTGACCTGCTTGGTGGACACTCATTATGGTCCTATTTGCATATGGGTACGTATGAGTACGTGAGTACCTTCAACATAAAAACGCGCCTTTTTTATGAAGAGGTCACATTTTTGCGGTTGTCATGACTATGCAAGATGCATCAAAGGGATCACAAGGTACGCTGACAGGTTAAACTCATGGACCGTGGAATACGAATGAATTTAAAGCGGTTTCCCGCGTTCTATGGGGGTTCTCCACCTTTCCCTTTGTTTGAATGCACCAACAAAAAACAATGATTAATGCTTTACTGGGATGCAGTATTACACGGCGTTACGACATTACACGAGGATGGCTCTGTCTGGTTTGAAAATATCACAATAACCAAGTAGAATGATGTGCCGTCTTTTCTCCAGCATCAATCAAATCACATTTAAACTATTAATTCTAACCTATTTACCGGAAAAAATTTGAAATTTTACTTGAAAACAACGAGTGGACGGTTGCGCAATGCTTTGATTGTTTATTTAACTCGTTGCTTTGGTTTCAGTGGGACTTAAGGCTCCGTCAGCAACACACATTTGCCCAGGTGTTACGTCTTCCTTCGTCTTCAGGATAATCTCAGGGCGTGGCAATTGCAGATTTCCAAATTTTACTATCAAGGGAAATCCGTTTCAATACTATCTTTCAAATTTTGGAAGGGTGCAATTGCCCTTCAAGCCCTTGTTCTAATCGCCAATTTCCTTGTTGGACTCTTTGCGCGATTTTCCCACATTGTTGATTGTCGGTAAAGATTTTAGTGGCTAGTATGAAGTGGGCAAGATCTTGTTCTAAGATCAGTCAAATTCAAAATAATAAAGGCAGAGAAGATGAGAAAGAGGGAGAGGAGAGGATCGATCTGGACAAATTTTAACGACCATCGTCTCCGCAAACTTTCCTCCACTTAGCAAATTAGAAACGTTTCCGACGGCTAATTTATTACGCTGAGCTGTTTTACTTTTCTGGGAAATTTGAAACCTGCCTCGCAGAAACCCTAAGTGATTAAAACGGCTCAAGACAATTCAATCAACTACAAATCAGATTGGTGTAAGCGACTTTATTCAAAATACTGCCAGGAAAATGGCACATCTTACAGAAAGGTGACAACTCTACCAACGATTCAATTAAAGGATTTAGTAATCCAAATGAACGCCCTGTAAGATTGTGATTTCACAACGGTGCTGAGGCACTTATCGGCCTTAAGCAATCTCATACATTCCCCTTAAAGCCTTTTTATGGCCAAATTTAATGGCTAAGAATAGGCAGATGTTGAGTGCGGTGACAAATAAACAAAAAGTCAGGGAGACTCCAAACACCCACTCATTCACTTTCTTGTCTAGCATCGTTCCCAGCGCTCTGCCTTGCAGTGCGGGCTCGGGCGAGATGTGCAGGGGTGCTGATGAGACGAAATATCGTACGATTTCAGGGAGCATATTCTAGATGCTCACGCGTTTTTTTTTCGAGTGCAAGTGCATCGCGAGGTTTAACTTTAAAGAGCGAATACGTTTACCGGTACCGTCGCTTTCACAGCGTAAAGGTGGATTCGCACGTTTTGTGTGGAAGCTATGACGAGGAGCGTGAGAAATTATACTGGAGTAGTCAATGCCTTTTTAGACCCTGATTAGTGCCGTAAAACATTAGGTGTTCATGCTGAAAAGCGTATGCCCAGATTTCTCCCTTTAAAGTTGACTAGGGCGTTCACAACAATGCTGTAAAAAGAAACTTCAGGGCGTCAAAAAACTTCACATCAGATATAAGTACATTCACGTAAAAACGCATAAGCCTACAATTTCCTTACCAAATGCAGGTGAGATTCTAACTGAATTCATATTTAACTTCCCTTGTTTTCAAACAAATTTATTCTAGGTGTGGAGTGTGACTAATCAAAATTCGAAGTACAGATGGGATAAATAGAACTTCTTTCCACCATCGTGGTGGAGACCTGATCATGAAGGCCCGACACGACAGTGTGTATACTTAAATTGACACAAAATCACTACAGTTTTGCATTAATTTTCTCCAAATGGGTCTAAACAAGGCGAAAAACAGAATCTAGGCAGCCAATCTCAATGCGACGAAGGCAAATTCGTCATTCGGATACAGCAGCAACTGCAGAAAGTATGCATCTCCTTCAACCTTGTCGAATAAAATTTGTGAAGTGAAATAAAGTGGTTCAAGTAATAAACGAAAATCTTGCCCAACAGATTACCAGTGTTTCAGACGTCTATCTGCGCGTTTCAAATGCAGTAACATATGACTGACTCCTTTATAAGTAGATTGAATGCATCAACAAAACTGAAGTAATCTTAAGGAGACCAGTTGATTTATTCTACCGCCGAAAGTCTTAAAATAAGGTAAATAGTCTGATGACACGCGAAAATAGGACGATTTTAGGTGCTGTCGTACGAGATTTCATTTTACGCACAGATAGCGGACAGATAGTGAGGGTGCGCACTCGTTCTCGGGTATACATGGTGGCACAAACAGACACATTCACGAGCAGAGTCTCCTTACCGTGTACCATTTTTAATCAGGATTTAAATAAATTTTGACGGTGCGATATAGACATCGTGGAATCATTAGAGGTGGTAGTGCAACACCAAACTAACAAAGTGTGGGTCTTTAAGATAATCTCACAGCCATGGTACATCAGTTCACTGGTCAGAGGATAGGCAGTTGATTGTTATGGTAGGAGAAATTTGTGGAGTTATACCTATTTGAACACATCCGTTGTGACGCCAGTATGAGGAGGGGGAGAGGCAGGAAACCGGAGACAATATCAAATGCCAACCAAGCCAAAGAGTTTGGCTTTCAACGAGGTGTCTCATCTGATTTTAGGATCATTAAACACTTGTTAACTCCAAGAGATAGCTAAGAGGGACACCGACAAAATTGATTAAACAGCATCCAACGTGCTGAACAGAAAATAAACACTTATTGCCAACCAGCAAAAGGAGCATCACAATTAACATACTTCAGTTCGACATTTTTGGATACTTTTTCTCGAGAAGCTGCCTTCTTTTCCATGCAAAAACTGCAAGTAATTTAGTGTGCTCAAAATCAACAAGTCATTAATTTGTTCGTGTCAAATACTGCTTCAATACAATTAGTGGTAATATGTAGACAACTTCTAAAAGATGACGCGCTATGACTGAACTTTTGGCAAACTGCCAACTCGGAATACAAGATATTTGTGAAATAATTTACCTCTAAACGAATAATCTTTAAAGATGTAGAAGAACACTTCATGAAAGAGCAAGGTTTACCGCCGATGTATGAAAGCACTAAATGACTGGGCAGGGAGGGTGCGCTATGACACCTAGACGGCAACTGTAACTTAACAGCTGAATAAAATATCTTCCTGTTATGCAAAACAACTACCTCATCCAGGGCGCTTCCCATGGCTGTTCCGCTCCAGCTCTCAGTAGTCCACCCGCAAATTATAATCTACACAAAGATGGAAGCGATTTGAGGAACCTGGGGGGTTACGGCAGGAATTCCTCTTGTTCCATTAATCGCATTACATTATTGCCAATGTGGTCAGAATCTCTGAATATTGTGGCCATTAATAGCCCGAAAAGACCCCGAAATAACCATTACTTATTGGGACGTTCCCAATTCAAAAAGTACTACCGAAACTGCGTGAGTAAACAATGATTTATCAACACATTAAGGGGCAGAGGGGTTGAACTAATCCTGACGCTGTCTCATGTTAGCTCTCAGAACATCACCAGGACTTGGGTAGGGGCGCTGCTGAAAGAGCGGTCCAGAGGCGGTTACGTCTGCACCGGTTTTTGCAGAAGGCGCAGAGCCCGAGACGCCCTCCAGTCCCGCCGTCCAACCACCACGCGGGACGTCCGAATAGGCTGCGGGGTCCATTGGGTCCAAAGGCTCATCACCATCTCCGCTGCGCCGACGCTTTTCGACTAAAACGTGGGAAAACAGGGAGCATCGATGAACCAGAACCGTGATACAGCGAGAAAAGCGTTACAAAGATTATGTGGTGGGCACTTACAATTGAGGCTCGAGCTAAACGGCAACATTTTATTATACGCTATCAAAATAAAAAAGCAAACTACCACAATGATATGACAAACTGTAGAAGACGGTAAGCATGCCCTATTAACATCAGTAATAATCAACACACATGTCGTGGGCTGAACGCAGTACTTTAAGCTGAGAGGCAACAGTGATAATGAGTGCCGGCAGGCAACGGTGATAAAACAAGTAAAACCCAAGCCTGCAGAAACAGAAGACGCCAGGTACGGGAGGACCCGTTGGTGGCACCACCAGTAATAAATTATTCGATTGAATGAGGTAAATGATTAACAAACAGACATACAAACGCCTTTACGTTATTAACGATCCCAGTCGTGATGGTTTCATTTCCATTCTGCCAGTGCTGCAAATATTAGGACCAGTAAGTGAGAGACCTGAGCCAGGTTACGAAATCGATGAACGACCCTTTTTAAAGTTGCACAAGAGATTATCCTTTCGAGAAAACAATGAATACACTCATTCACAAGCTTTCACAATATCGAAAAGTCGCTAGTAAAGCCGGCTGTCTAAAGATATTTCAGCAGTACTGGCAAAAAATTCCACCGTCTATTATAACAATCTCAGTTTAATAAAAAATACTGCAAGACAAAGAACTGTTTATGGAAAATAAAGCGACCCAATTGAGATGCTGGACGGTACAAGCCATACCTATGGCACCAAAAACCCAGTACCTTGTACTTGCGAAATCAAAATCTAGCATTTCAACGAGGACTCGAAGAAAAGCTTTGATAAAGCGGAAACTTCTCACATTTCGGTGCCCGTCTCATACTTTTCCCAAGCCGAACATAGGATGGTGGAGGGGCAGAAGGCGGTGGCATAATATTTGTAAGCAGAGGAGACTGAGAGGTTGCTGGTGGTGGCGGGGGTGGTGGTGTAGGAGAACGCGATCGGTCCCTTTTTCCTTCCCTCTTCTCACTTTCGAATTCTCCATCCAATCCTCCCGCTGCTAGAGCAGCTGCCGACGCCGCTGCCGCTGCCGCCTTCGCCGCCAGTGTCTGTGCTTTCAAAACACTAGCAGATTTAGTGATGATTGCCCTGGGATGAAGAGGAGAGAGCCAGCAGACCTCGTCAGTCACTGTATTCCAATAGTAGAATCGGCCGGTTACAGGGTCGCCCACCTCAAGCCAGTGACTTGGGAGGGGATATCGACGAAGCATGCGATCGCGCAGACGACCCATATGCTGATCACTGGCCCTGAAAGTACGGCGACCGTAACGTTCGAAACAGTAAGCGGTGCATTCGTGATAGGGATTGGTGAGATTTGGACACGCAGCGATTTCGTGAATTAGGGTGCCATTCTCGATTATAGGAACAGGACTGATCCCCTTGAGGATGGGTGGGATCTGACCTGAGCCGTCGCCATCGTAGCTTTCGGCGAATACTTCCTCTGAAGTGAGAAGTAGTCACTGAGGTACCCACTTTACACAGTGCATAAACACCACGAATTCAAACGACCCAGTAACATATGAGCTTTGACTCCTGTGGTATCACCAAGAAATATTGAAGACTTAGAAAGTGCTGCCAAGTTATGTGAAGAAAAAGTGGAGTGAGTACGCTATGTGATTCAAACAACACTAGAAGAAAAAGGCATTAACCTTCGTTTTTCGACTTGTCCAGAAGGCCTCTTTTGGCCAGACGTGCTGCTAAGGCTGGGGGCAACGGCATTGCAGCAAGACCCTAAGTCTACGGAACAGCAAATAGGGCGCCAAATACATAGGGGAGATAAAGCCAACAAAAATGATTTGCAGCACATAGTAAGAGCTGTACAAAATAATGTAGAAAAATCCGTAAATAAGACGCAGACACAAAAGTGATGCTCTACACAAAGTATGATAGAAGAGATCAAATTGAAGACCACTTTTGCCTCACTAATTCTTGGCTAAAGTATGATCCAAACATAAGTTAATAAAATATCTTTTACCAGAGTGGTGCGTCTACACACTTATGCTCTTTGGGCACATAAGCTTTTAAGATGTGTTTGTAGTAATTAAAGTGAAAATAGGGGTAATCTTAAAAAGAAGTCGCGTAAAATAACATAAACTGATATTCTAGCATTGAAAAATTTAAGTTGCTGAATGTACACTCTGCAAATGTATGGCAAAATTTATGAGTGATTCGTTCTTCTAGACCACGGTGTTTGCCTACACTTACGATTGGCGTCGTAAGTTGTCAGGTGGTTGGGTGGCTCTCCTGGTTCGTGCGTAATGGGTGTCCTCAGCAAAACACGTGCCCTTAACATTACTTAGACAACCTTAGTATTTTGTAAGGGGACTGTTTTTTCCCGCGTGCTAGAGCTTTTACGCTGCTGCTGACACATTGGTATGCATGCTTTTCCCTGCGGATTTTCCAGAATTACCAGTAGTCCTGGCACTATCTTCTTTGTTAGACAAATAACTATTTTATGGATTGAATTTTAAAGCTACTTGCATTGGTGAAATACTTATCATAGTAGGTGATCCATGACACTGTTGTGGGGACTGTTTCGGGTCGTCTTTTTTAGACTAGCAGACTATCTGTTTCAATGACTCACTTTATCAAACAATTTTTACATTTCTTATCAGATGCCTGTCTTTGCGCCTCTTTTGGACCTTTCCAATGGGCGTAAAATCCCTTCTATCGGACTTGGCACTTTCAAGGTAATGGAGTATTTATTTTACGTACAATGTTTGTTAAGTATTGTATTTGTGCAATCGAACTGCTCATTCAAACACTCTTGTGTCGTGTTATTAGACCACTGATCGTGGATTGGTGCAGCAAGCAATATCCGCTGCTCTCGACGCCGGTTACCGACACATTGACACAGCCTTCATCTATTCTAATGAGGCCCAAATAGGCGCCACATTAAAGTCGAAAATGTCGGAGAGTGGGATTGCTAGGGAGGACATCTTCATCACCACAAAGGTAGATAGACAGGCAATCGCGTAGTCAGTTGTGACCGTGACACTTAAATTTTTTGTTTATCGGTATAAAAATACTTTGAATATTTTTCTTCCCTTCAAACCTGAATTATAGTCAAGGTGTTTTTGATGCAGTGAGGGTTTTTAATTGATGAACACTAGTTGTTTTGCCATTAGCATAGGTACTTTGAATGTGACAATACACACGATTGGCAGATAACTAACTCCGTTAACTAACTTCCTTACCTCTTATTCTCAGTCCTCTGTTTTCTCACAATTTTATGGGTAAATCCCCTTCCTCGAAATTTATCCCTGAATAGATTAAGGCAGATTACATACGGACTCACTAATGTAAGAGATGAAGGCCGTCTCAGAATTCTAGCCTGCATCCCTGGAACTGGTTTACGAAAGCTGAGGAAGCTACCTTAATTTGACCGCGATATTTTGAAGATGTTAAGCACTTTTACAAAGCATTCAGTCGTTCCCTCATAAACATGGGTTAGAGGTTGGGAGAAGAGCATGGGAACGACGTTCGTAGTTTATTTCTCAAATAGTGTCACTGCTAGTGCTTGGTGTACGAGTGAATTTCTAAATATGACCGTACTACTGGTGCCCAATCAACTGCTGATCGGGGATAATAGGCAAAAGCTCCTAGGTATTTGTTCTTGAAAATCTGGTTATTGTTTCTAAAAGTGGAATAACAAGATGTAGGATGGTCATTGCGGGTTCTGTGGTAAAGAAACTAAATGTGCTCTGCAGAACTCTCAGCGACCGTACTCTTGAAACCGACCAAGTGGGTTGGAAAACTGTTAGGAGTGAGAGCTGCCTCAAAGATTAGTAGACACACAATTAATTCCAAAATGAGAGTAGAAATTATTATTTTTTTTTCTGCAGCTTTGGGGCACAGAACATCATCCACAGGATGTGAGACCAGCATGTGAGGCAAGTCTACGCAGATTGCAACTGGATTATGTGGATCTCTATCTTTTACATTGGCCTGTGCATTTGCCGGTACGTCCATACCTTACCTCATTTGCCCCTGATTGTTAAGGACTAAGTTTACCGTATCAATGCAGAATTTGGGAAGGCATAAGCAAATGGCCACCTTGGGGAATGTAGATGGAAACGATGTTTTTTGAGAAAACGAGCTATAATCAATTTCTCCGGGATTGTAGGTGCTTCAACTCTTCCACTTTCGTTTCAGAATCCTAAAATATAAAATAATATGTTGAAGTGAAAAGTTGTCTTAGTATTCACTGTACGCCACCAATTGGGAATTGTGAATGTTTGTGAACGATTGCGCTGATCGCTTTTACAAGGATTCGTCTTTTGTATATCTACACGAAAGGCGATGTACCGACTAGATATCCAGGATTAGGCGTTCTAATTACTGAACAACTGCTGTATTGTGGACTGGAAATAGAATCACCCGCTCGTTCTCTCTGTTCCCTACCCCTTCGACCAACGGCGCTTGCGCTAGATTCAACTGAATGTTAGTACTGGTGATTTGCTTGTCTTACCGCTGTGTGTAGTTGTGTAACGGCGGCGTTCTAATCCAAGTCTCCAAGGTTACAAGTACCAATTTAATAGCACAACATTAAAGTGGTGACCGAATTGTGAAGGCTGAAGGTCTCCCACAGCTAACTATCCAATCAAAATAAATGTCCTGTTGCAAATCCCAGCACTTGTTTCCTTCATGCTTTTGGCCGTTCATCCACTTATAGCGCGAATGTGAACCGCGTGGGCCATTTACCCTGGAAGACACATGGAAGGCCATGGAGACTTTGGTGGACGCCGGTTTGGTGCGCAGCCTCGGTTTGTCCAACTGCAACCGCGCGCAGATTGATCGCATTCTTGCAGTTGCGCGAATTAAGCCGACTGTGTTGCAGATTGAAGCGTCGGTGGGTTTCCTCAACGAGAAACTCATCGAATACGCACACTCTGTGGGCCTAGTGGTCACTGGGTATGCGCCCTTCGGATCCCCGGGCACCTCACCGTAGGCGAGACCTCTTTTTTGCTGCCATTGTAATGTTTTTACATATTTCCTTTTTTTGGTTGAAATCGACTCATTCTCCACCGAAACTGATTCACTAGTTTGTGTTTAACGTACTTGTCCGAAGTCAATGATGGTTTGAATATTTCTGCTTCACCTTTTATCAAGCGAGTTCCCGAATCCCTTGGAGATCCCATGCGTGGTTGAAATGGCTAAACGTCACGGCAAAACACCCGCCCAGATTCTTATCCGCCACGGCATTCAACGTGATCTCGTGGTCATCCCCAAGAGTGTCACGCCCCAGCGTATTCACGAGAACATCGACGTATGCACATGGCTTTGGTCTCCCTTTATTCCTTTTTATTCAAAATTTTATTTTTTTGGACCCTCTAGGTCTTCAATTTTGAGCTCTCTGCAGACGAGATGTCAACGCTGAATACTGCGGAGCCAAAACAGTGTCGACGATTTTCTCTGAAGTCGTCAGTTTCTCTCCTGCTTGATCTGATTTGCTACTGGTTCAACTTTTTTGTCTTGTGTTCCCATCATCGGTGTTTTTGCTATTTTAGGTGGACAAATATGCCGGAATATCCCTTCCACGACGAATTTTGAGATGCTTACTCGGCTGACTGGCTTCCGTTCCATGAGTTTGGATTAAAAGTATTACATAAATAATATTTTTTGTCGGGGAGTTGACACGTGATTTGAGAGTAACTGGGATAGTGTGAATCTCTTCACAATTATAGCTTGACTTCATGACGGTGGCATCGATACTACTCGTCCTCCAGTCCTTCTGCTTCCAGGCCTAGGTACCTCATGGGGTCTTCAAGGTGGCCTTGAATGGCAGCGCGGTACGATGTGACATAAAATTTTTACTTCTCTCGAAGAGGTTGGGACATCTTACTGCTAGTTCAAGGAAGGCTGATTACAATCCCAACGTGGAATGAGGGTGTTTGATGAGTTCTACTGGAACTACTGCATTATAGTCAGCTATTCTTCGGGGAAAACGCCGAACCTCGTATTCCATGTTGGCCAATCGCAAGAATGGGTCTCAGTTGATTTTCTAGTTCTGTGCTTTCAAGGAGTTCACGTCTTTAAGGTGAGTCTAGCAGGTCACAGTCCCAATCGGTGAGCCTTTTGAAAGAAATACTCGATAGCGGACAGTCCCATAGTAGAGGTTACGATAGAGAGTATCACATCGACTAGTTTCGGTCTCAGTTCGCTGCAGACACAAAGCAGGGCCGTCTGGGCGTAGGGCAGTGCCTTGGAAGTATGTGGTTTGCAGTGAGCAGATCAGTTGAGACCACAGAATGCGTCAATTGTTTGCTTACTTCTCGGTTTTAGCAACGCGCCAAACAGGGGTTCCACCATTGTATATCTCCAACGGGTGGCCTGGCCTTCGGTCCCCTCAGCGTGCCGACAATACAAACTCTGCCCGAGTGTTAGGTCTTCTTTCGCCTTCAAAGATGTATAAACCTTAGCGGGGCCAAAGAAGTGTATAAGCTGCGGATGGGAGAATTTGTGACCACCTCTAGCAGAACAACTTCAGCCTCGTAGTCTGCAGGAGAGCTATTAACAACTGAAGCGACATTAGTCGTAACCGTGAACCATCTAAAAAAGTTCGTTACGGAGCTGTCCATGAAGTAAACACGCGATACCTCCTTCATCCCCTACCAGCCACATAGAACCCAGATAGACATATGGCTGGTAGCACAGAAGTGAGGAAAAAAGTGAGGAGGGACAGACGCAAAACCCTACCCCGAGGGAACTGCTGAATCCCGTCCTTTGTTATGTCACTACTTTTGAGCAAGCAGCCAGCACCTTCTCCATTTCCCCAATACAGTTCTTAAATAGGACGAATCACCAGATCCAGTAAAGTCGGTGAGAGAGATCAGTGGAGTGGCAGTTGCACGAAAATTCGATGGCTGGTACGAATGGCTCGTGAGTGTTTTACAGCACCAGTTACGTTTTGATGGCTGATACGAGAGGTTGGCCAAGAGGAGCGGCGGAAACAACGCTCAAAAGAGAAGAGGGGCCATGTAATACATTAATTGGTTATTAAACTTTCGGTTTTGGTAACGATCCAATTAGGGACTCAGCTATTGTGCCTCCGAGCGGTGATCTGAACATCGTGCCATGCCAGTAGCACCAATCCCAGCATTGTCTTCTTTCATCTTCAAGGAAGTCTCGGGACGCTACAGCTATTCTATGATGTTTGCTTAGCAAACTTCAAAATAAAAAAAACATTTCTTAACTCCAATTAGTTGCGAAACGGGCTAAAGTTTGCAGTACATTTCCATAATGTATGCGCAAGGAGTGGGAGGTGACGAATTGCCAGTCCTTGAAGCTCACTGTGATTTCCCAATGCCTGTGGGTGGAGACCACACATTTCACCGCAGCATAGGCAGGCATCACCGAGGTTTGCTCTTGACATATTGGCCTCTCATTATTTTATCCAATATCAACACAATTCCTCATGATCAATAATAAGAATTCCTCTCAAATGTGGCGCATCTATCCCCCATCATCGAAATTATACCTATCAACTAACCCCTAGACGATACGTTCTGTTACCACACAACGCACCTCCTTCGAGGGCTACGCGACAGACGGCACAAGAGACCTTTGGATTTTTGGAACTGGATTACACTCACTTCGTCAAGCAGGTAAACTTCAGTCACATCCACCAGGTCCAACCGACACTTTGTGAGGCAAGGGATAATTCAACGATAAGAGAAAGACAGTTGAGGGCAGAGTGAAGAGTATCGAACCGAGGGATTGACGTGTATCTACCCGCGCTTGACAACGAAGCCAAAAAGTGGCATTTTGAAAGACTATAAATAGCAACAAGTCTTTGCAGCCAGCTGTCATGTAGCGACCTTACGTGCCTATAAAAGCAGATTCTGCTAGGGTAATCCTATAAATTCTGAAAATTGAAGTTGGTTCCTAGGTTTCGGTTCAAGAAGTTTACTAAAAAGAATGTCCCACATTCTCAAAGGGGTGTTATGAACTGAAGAAACACTTCGTAATTGGGTTACTTCCAACCTTTCACCTTCCACCTCACATTTTACTATTCTGTACTTTTATATTTGGTGAGCCGTGGAGGGATCATTAATGACCATGCGCAGAGTACTAAGGACGCGTTGACGTCTAGAATTAGCATGTTCACCTCCGGGCTCTCAGAGGCAAATCAGCCAACGACAGCCCAGATGCCATAAAAATATAATTATTACCAAACCGAGAACAACTCACGCATACTTGAGTTCCAAATTCAACCAAGCTATTTGCGACACGACAGGTCATCATAAACAGATCGAGAGGACGTACTCATGACCGCAGGATCGGATAAGAAAGTCGGAATGTTAAATACACACGACATCGTGGGCGAACATCTTGAGGATGTTATGACCGGGAGCAACAAAACCTAATCCCTTGTATAATTAACACAATGCCTCAGCTAGCCAGCGCAAAAAAGTTTCGGTTAAAAATCCTAGAGGGGAAAATAATGCTCCTACCAATAAATGCAGCCGAAGGGAAAAGTTTGACTCACGACCAGGCATTCGAGTAACCCAAGATCGCCCTCACCAGACATCTCTCCCACGTCTAATTAAGTAGATCAGTATTCCACTAATTGCAAAAATGGCACTTCAAGAAGTCTCGACGAACCACTAGGAACACTTCAAACTGTCTTGAAATGTGCGAAACGTCCAACCCATCCACAATAAAATAAAAGAACGGAATTTCCATCAACCAAGGAAGGGCTGTATAAACTGACACGAGGATCATTCACGAGGACGGATGGACGCACAGACGGGAAAGGCAGGGGGATGAAAGACAGGCGGACAAAGGTATAGAAGGAAAAAAAAATAAATCAATCAAGACACCCAGCAGCGGCTGCCACTTTGCTCGGATTGGCCAATTCTTCGCCCAAAGCTTCTAGGATCTCCCGTCGGTAGTCATCAAACTCTCCACAAATTTCGACGATATCCTGATCCTCAATGATCCAGAGAATGCACTCCGTATCACGAATAAGGCGTTCGTCGTGACTTACTATAATCACCCCGCCTTCGAAATTGTTAATAGCCTCGGCCAGTGCATCTATAGACTCTATGTCAAGGTTGTTGGTGGGCTCATCAAGGATTAGAATGTCGGGTGCACGTTTCGAGAGCTCGGCAAAGGCGACACGAGCCTTTTGGCCACCTGAAAGGTCGGCGTTGGGGATCGTATGCGCGTGACTCTCCAACCCGAATTTGCCTAAGGTGCCTCTTGCCTCCTAAGATGGCATTAAACCATAACTCCACAACTAATTCCGCAAGTCAATTTGAGAAAAGAATTAAACTACCTGCATGGGGAGATTGAACAAGCGCATAAGATATTGGGCTGGAGTTTCAGATAGATTCAATTGGTCCGCCGAGTGCTGATCATACTTTCCGATTTTGGCTCGATGGTTAATTCTTCGTTCGCCCTCTGTGGGAGTGAGTTCACCAGTAAGAAGCTTAATAAACGTGGATTTGCCAACGCCGTTTGGACCGACGATTGCGATACGGGTCGACAAGTCCACACCGAAATTAACATCCTTGAAAAGCAATTTCTGATTTGGATAAGCAAAGCTGCAGTTAAAGAGGCCCAGGACTGGAGGATTAAGCGGAGGGGGATTGGGGAAATAGAACTAAAGAAAAACCAGACGTTACCAATGTGCTACTAACAAATTATAAGCGAATGAAAAAGATAACCTACCTTAACAACATAGTCCTTCGGTTTTGCAATCAGCTGCTTTGCATCAGCTGGCCCACCTTCCCCTCCATTATTCTGAGCACCCTTTCCCTTTCCTTGCTTGCGGGTGAGGGCTTCACGCTGATTCTTCGCTTGGGCTTGCTTAGCACTCATTCCAGATTGTTTAAGTTCCTTCAGACGCCTTTCTTGTTTCTCATATTCCTTCATTTGTTCACGCCTCCTCTGCGCCAACATTGTCTTGAAACGATCTGTGGGAAGGCAATTTCTGCCGAGGATGTGATAAGGGAAATTACACCATGAGTAGAGAATGTTTTCTTACCGTAGTTACCACGATAGTAAAAGAGTTGTTTCTGATCCAGGTGGATAATGTCCGTGCAGACGTTGTCTAAGAATGACTGGTCATGGGACACAACAAGAAGTGTCTTTTTCCAACTCTGGAGGTAACTAAAACAACCAAATCCATAAAATCCAATCTACTTACTTATCAAGCCAGATAACAGCGTTAAGATCTAAATGGTTGGTGGGTTCGTCCAGAAGCAGGAGTGTAGGCTCAAGGAAGAGCGCCCGCGCCAGACTGACACGCATCCGCCAACCACCAGACAGATCCTTCGTGGGCCTCTCCATCATTGGAGGAGTGAAACCGAGACCAGCTAAAATACGACGCGCTTTGCCCTCCGCTGCGTCAGCCCTCATGGCCACCAGCTCCTCATGCACCTGGTGAGAAGAAAGACGAAATTACTTAAAGTAACCTAGTAGGCGTGCTCCACATGGAAATGGTGAAACGCACTTCGTTATAGAGGTCGAGCACGCCTGCGTCGTGCGAGGTTTCAACCTTTTCTCGCAATGTTTCCAACTCTTGCAGCAAATTAAGACGCTTCGTATCCGAGTTGAGAACCACCTGAACTGAAGGCGTGTCATCGGCGATGACCTCTAGAAGGAATGAAAACGCAGGCATTATGGATCCGGTGGTAGGCAGGATCCAGACATCAGTAGATCAATGACGGAGACGTACCCTGTTCACAAAGAAGAATATCGATGTTAGAAGGAATGGCGAGTTTTCGTTCGGCGATGTGACGCAAAAGGGTGGTTTTACCATGGCTACAAGAGATTAGGAAACGTGGCATTTTTCTTAACCAACGACATCGATTTGCCACTTTTCCCATCCACCTCTGACACGATGCAATTGCTCAAATCTTAAATTTAAAGCAAAGCGCTGGACAAATCATTTCCAAAGTTAATTCTTCATTCTACGTGGCCATAGATCAAGTTAGACGTCCAGATCGACTAGCATCCATCACACCAATATGTCCACCTTTAAACATTCCAATCACCTCGTAGACGAGGACTCCATTCCGCAACAACGGAATTTAAAAAAAAAACGCTTCATGATGTGGGCGTTTCGAAACCCCCACCATAAAATTTTCGCGTGCCAAAGGTCTGTGATTGACTAATAATGACGAAATTAACCTTAAAATCAAACATCTAGAGTTGTTCTAAATGCTTTCGGTCCTACCAAAGGCATAATTCATGAGATAACCGAGAAAATTACGCAACCGAAATTTGACGGCCAGGGGGCCCAGCACTTTCTCAAAACTTCAGTCAATTTAGCATGGGACGACTTTACTCCGCGTGCAGAGAAAAAAGGCTGTAATGTCACCGTTTTGTTAAGATATTCAATTGACGTATACCAAAAGTGTACAATCAAAATGTAATCGCAAAGATTACTTCAAGGTGAACTGCAAAGAAGACTACTTGATGGAAATTTGCCAAAATCTCCTAAATTTTATCAACTCAACAACCCATCATTTCTGAGAAAATCAGATATGACTGAATGGCCTCGAGCCCCATCTACGGCGGGCTCTAAACACAATGCGCAGCATCTGACAGAACGCAGCGACCTCTATCGGGGGATTACAATATGACTGGCTAAGCAAAATTAACAACAAAACGATCAGTAGAACAGGGGGCTTACCCATTGGGACCACAGAGACCATAGCGACGACCGTGAGTGATCTGAAGCGAGGCGTTCACAAAGAGATCCTTGCCTTTGGCAGAGAGTGAGAAGGTCTCGACCTTAATATCTAATTGGTTCTCATTTAGGACTGTCTTGCCTGCTGCCTGCAAGGACAAAATCATGGTGGATTAGATGGGGTTTTAATACACGTCTATTCACCATTCAGGGAAAAGACACAAGCTTCACGGGATATTAAACTGCTAGACAATACGTCAAATCAAAAAGGCGGTCAGACAGGGAGGTACTTCTTGTATTAGATAGGAGATTAGTCATCAATTATCCGAATAGAAAAACGATGGCTAGTGATCAAAATCAGGTTGCACCGAATCGTCAAAATTGATTCAAACTAAGTTTTCGAAAGTGAAGAATAGCATGCTACAGAGAAGCTATATTTGTGAAAGGCAGGTAACCACTGCAGCTGTTATGCTGCAAAGTGGCGGTACGGAGGTCATCGTACAAACAGTGCCTTCGTGAACCCGACTGGAAAAACTAGCAAATGCACTGAACGAGCGAAAAGATCTGCCGATAAAACTCAGGTCTTAGCAATTTCTTCATAAACTAGATTCATCAGTGAAGTTAACAGTAACAAACATGCAACAACAAAATCATGAGGTTTCATTACCAATATTGCAACACTACTTACAAATGCCACATTTAGGTAGGCCTACGTAACACCAAGAACCAGACTATTCAACGATACTGATACCTGTGACTCACAAATTCCATTTATTCTGGGCCAAATAAACGTGGCAAGCATGCATTTATTTACATAAACAAGTTGCGGTTCGCGAGTAACTGTTAAAAAAGGAGAAGAACTGCTATAAGCTATCCACACGTCTAGCACTTTGATTTATGCCGGATATTTTAAGTACTGGAAGCAAGAAATTAGTTCCTCTGGTTGATAAGTGCATCATTTAGTGCTAAACACGCCTAAGGACTCCTTAAATACAATTTTCAAGAAAATGCGGTAGCGCGATGAAGCGCGAGTATAATAAAACTGAGCGTCAAAATAGAGAAAATGAGCATCCGAAGAAAAAAATATGATTGATTCCTATTTACAAATGCGTAGTTATAAGTACGAAAAGTGAGATCTAGTTCAAACTTAGGTGTAACAGTAAAATACGGGTAACATATAGTTGATGACCGAGCACTAGAAGAGCTAAACGAACCTGTGATACAGAGAAGTTATCCAGAGTGCCCGCATTAGCCAGAACGTTTTCTTTGGCGATCTCCACCAATTTGGCGAAGTCTTCGCGTTTCTTCTGCTTCTTCATCTCCTTCTTCGACAACTTTTGCTTCTTTGTAGAATCGACGACTGCCTCCAGAGTCTGCTCTGACACTTCTGTCTTCAGTGACTCAACATTAGCCTCTTCCTCTCCTTTAGTCTCTGATTCAAGACCCAATATCTCTTTCGAATCCACGCCTTTCGTTACCTCTTGACCCTTTTTAATCTCAAGAGAGTATTCCGAGTCTTCGGGTGCAGGTTCCCTAGCCTCAACTACTACGCCATTTTTCCGTTTACCCTTTTGTGGTTGCTCTTCCCTTACATCTACAGGAGGTGGAAGAGCCTCCGTTCCGAACTCCTCTTCTGGCTCCAAAAAGTCTTCAAATCGCCTATTTTTCTTCTGTTTTCCTTTCCTTGTTGGCTGATACATGTCATACCCTTTTCCATCGAAATCATCAGCGGCTTTAAGGCCTATATCGGCCAGCTTTTCAGCCAATTTCCTTTCTTCTTCTTCAGAGTCACCCCAATCATCACCGCGCCGACCCTTTTGTCCCTTTTTACCGCCTTTCTTTTTGGGGCCTTGTTGTTGTTGTGATTCCTGCGGCTTCCCTCCACGGCCGGCTTTTCGCTTCTTCTTGTAAAAGTCTTCGTCTAGATCGTCCTCCGCGTCGGGTTCGTTTATTTCGAAGCCGCCGTGAATTTGAGCAGTGGTATTAACGGCCTTAGGTTCATCAGCGCCAAAATCCACGTCTCCCATCTTATCCTTTTTTTGCTTCTTCCCAGAAGGCTTCACTTGCCCCGCGGTTTCTTTGTCTTCTAGGGGCTTTCGGGCGTCATCATCATCATCATGGTCGTAGCGTCTGCGATCCTTCTTCCCCTTACCAGTTTTCAACTTCTTAGCTTCATCGGCATCCTTAGAAACCTGACTAGCTTCTCCGTCAGATCCATCAACTTGGAAGTCATTTGTGGACTTTTTGCCTTTTCGTTTATCCACCGCAAGGTTCTTTTTGCCCTTTCGCCCTGGTCCTTCATCATCAGAGATGTCATTACGCTGCTGAGATTTAGCGGGGACATCATCTCCTTCACCAGCACTGATGTTACGACGGTTCCGCTTCGGAGGCATCACAGTCAACACGACCGGGGCAAACGACGCTAAACACGATCCAGTCCCTTTAAACACCGGATAGGTTAACCAATCAATTTAAAGTAGTCAAATTAGCAGCTGTATAAAACAAGGCCGGACTGTTCAAGTAATTACAAAATTGCAAAGAGGTATTCGCAAAATATGAAATATCTGTCCCACTTTTTCGTTAAACTCACCGCAATTTAGTAAAAAACTGTTATCGTAAATCGTATCAATAGAAGTTAGTAATATGAGCCTTAATTATCTATCCTGTCAATGTTTATTAAAGAATTTGAAATTGGCACGAAAAATTTTTCTAAAGCTATTTTTGGTGTTAGACTTTTGTTAATCTTATGGCTTTGTCTGTTTGATTCCTATTGGCTAGGCGACTGTAAAATCACCTCCTTTAACGGACAAGATGGCGGTCCTCGAGGATGGCGCCGCTGACGAAGGGTTTGATGAAAATGAAGCTCATCCATCTTTCATGACTCGCCAACAGGAAAGGAATAGAAAGAAAAAACTAAAGAAAAAGGCGTCCAAACAAAGGAAAAGGGCGGGTGGAGACAATCAGGATGCCCAAACCTCTGATTCTGTGACTTCAAACTCTGGTTCAGTTAGTGAAGCGAAAGAGAAGACTGAGGAAGTCCCTCGTAAAGAGTATCCTGTTTTCGAACTCACAGGTCCGTTCGAACGTTTCAAGGTGTGTGACTTTGTGTCTCTAAATTCATGTCTGTCTTTCCTCAAACTGATGCACTAAAGTGATACCGTATTGCGTCGCTAACATCTTATTCACTTAAAAGTGTTTGATTTTTACCAGCTTGTCTTCGACGAATCTGGTGATGGGAGGGACGGTGCCACAGATGGTGATAGGGTCGGCACTGATTTTGGTCTAACTGGAGACCCCTTCAAAACCACTCCGGATCAACCGAGCCTTAAAGCTCGCACTGCAGCCCTTCTAGCAGAAGAGGCAGCTGCTCGTGCCAAAAAATCAGAGAAAAAGAGTGACAGGAAAGGCGTCGGAGACGACGATGATGACGATGCGAATAGGGAACAACCGTTAAGCAAAAAGAAGCTGAAGCTTTTAAATCGTCCCTCGGTGGCTTCTTTAAAGCAGGCTGCTGCTCGACCGGACGTGGTTGAAATGTGGGACGTTTGTGCCAAGGACCCCCTACTTTTGGTCTACTTGAAATCCTATCGTAACACTGTTCCTGTCCCCAAACATTGGTGCGCTAAGAGAAAGTATCTTCAGGGCAAGAGAGGGTTTGAAAAACCACCTTTTCGACTACCTGAGTTTATTGCGCGGACGGGGATCATGGAGATGCGTCAGACCGTTTCTGATAAGGTGAGTTCGGGCCTCCGTCTGTGGTTGTGATTTGTTGGTAGGGCCTCATATTTCACAGGCTGGTTTATTTATTTAGCTTCCTAACTTCTCTTGCCTGTTTACTCTTGATTTATGTATCCATTTCTCCACTCATTTGCTGAACCGTCAATCAACCTTTTCCTTATTCACTAGTGCTTTTCTGCACTTTGACAGGACGCCGAAAAGTCGCTAAAAACAAGAATGAGGGAAAAAATTCGACCGAAGATAGGCAAAGTGGATATTGACTACCGAAAACTGCATGACGCTTTCTTTAAGTACCAGACAAAGCCCAAATTGACGAGTCATGGGGATCTCTATTACGAGGGAAAGGAGTTCGAGGTGAAGCTAAAGGAGAAAAAACCGGGTAATCTGTCGGATGAGTTGCGAACTGCGTTGGGTCTCCCCACTGGACCGGTACGTTCTCTTTTCAATGGGTTTTCAAACTATAAACGTCAACAAAATTGTTTATCTTCGTTTTCGAGCGGAATGGCTATGGTGAGGATTCGAATAGATTTCCAGGTACGGGAGTGGAACTTTCAAACGTTAAGGTTTAGATTTGCGTCGGGTCATGCTGCTTTCTGACATAAATTGTCATCGTAAGGGTTTATCGTAGGGAAGGAATGTTTTTTGCGCTGTTAGCGGAGTAGATAGTGGGAGGCTTCTGGTGCTAAAAATAACATCTTAAACAGCATTATGATTTTATTGCAGTCTTAATGGATATTTACCTCCTATGGCCGACAAATTTCCAATACCCTCGGAGTAGTAAATTTTCCTCAGCGAAGTGATCTCGCTTCTATGTTAGTGTTTAGCGATTTGTCTCAGATTTCCCCACATATTTTTTTTTCTGTCCGAACCGAATTCGAAGTATTTGTTTGCTGCATTGAAAGCAACGGATGTTTACTCCATATAACTTAACATCCCATGCTACATCATTTGCTACCCTTTTAGCTATGATGTTTTTGCCTATTTTGCGTGTCTTGGTTACTTAAACGAGTCGCGCAATTATTCTCTACCAAAATTCGCTTAAAACATTCTAATTTAAACATGAATCCTAGTGCAATTTCTTCGGTTAAGGCAATGATGGCACTTCGTTTAAAGGTCTCTTGGGTCGATTGCTATGGCAAACCATGTTTCTTGTAAAGCTGTAGCCCTCAAGATACTCTCAGCGATTTTTGTAAATCTAGAAGTTAGTATTATGGACGGCATTGGCTAAGTCCCATGCCACCAACGTGCTAGCCGGATCATAATACTGAAAGGGCTGTGTGGTCAAATCCGCAATGAAAAAGATGTCAGATGAAGTTATCTTATGGTGCGTAGATGTTAAAGGTAAACTAAACGCAAACAATGATGTCACTGTAACAGTGATAGAAGAATCATCCGCAATCTCTCATCATAGAACGCTGACCGCTACCCACCACCATGGTTAATCGCGATGCAGCGTTACGGTCCCCCACCCTCCTACCCCAACGTAGTCATTCCTGGTCTCAATGCACCCATACCTCCTGGCTGTGCCTTTGGCTACCATCCCGGTGGTTGGGGCAAACCTCCCGTGGACGAGATGGGCCGTCCTATCTACGGCGACGTCTTCGGTAACGGTGGCAACATGGCAGGTGTCCCACCGCCACCACCGCCTACCGGTGGACCCGCCGAGCCTGAGGAACCCGTCATCTCAGGTCTCGGGAAGAGTGGCCTTTGGGGCGAGCTGGAATCTGATGAAGAGGAGGAGGAAGAAGAAGACGAATCCGAAGAAGACGAGGATAAGACTGGTGAAGCGGGTGAAGGCGGTGGTGAGGGGGAGACAGTAGGCCTCACCGGCCCCCCTACTGAAATGATCCAACCCATCGAAAAGGTCAGCATCGATTTGGGTGGCTTGGTTACTCCTGCCTCTGGGTAAGTAGCATTCTCAAATATGCCGTTTCGTAGTCACTTCTGAGAGCATTCAGGTACTTTTTTCATTTCGCTTCAGTTTAATCACACCAAGCGGGGCGGTCTCCAGCGTTATTGGTGCAGAGACACCGGCAGCGGCGGCTGTGGGGGCAGCAAACCCGAGCAACATAGAGCTGCGCAAGCGCACCATCGAGGCGGCTATGGACAATGCAGACGGATTTGAGACACCTGCCCCGGGAACTGGATTGGCTGCCGGACAACTTTATCGCGTGTTACCTGAGCGCGAGACAGCCCTACAGCCATCAGCAATGCTTGGCTCAACTCGGGTTTATGATGTCACCGGGGTTACGGGTGCTCCTCGTGGGGAGGAGGTAGGTCTCCACTATTCTCGTGATAAAGCTTTTCTGACGTCTCTCCTATGGGATTAGATGAACTTTGTAAAGACGAAGTTCTGCTTGGTGTTGAAACCTACTTTGGTGGTTAGATTTTATGAGCCTGTGGCTACTTATAATCTTTCGGTAGATGGTTTTTTCCTGTTAATGTGCTGCGAACTATTCAACATTTTCGAACTCTTTCAGTAAATAATGTCGGATTTGAGAACGGAGTTTTTTGAACATATAGCATCACCGTTAATAAAATGAGAGGTCGAAAGGAAAAACTACTTGGAGATTCTCTTGAGTGTCAGCATCGTTTATTGGTACATCGTCAAAATTGGTGAGATGCTGTTCAGTGGATTGAAATATCTACCAGAATACTAAACGTGCTAGTTAAAAAAGTATTTAGGAAATGAAATGATGTGGCTGATTTTCTCATGTGTGTGAATGAGATCGGCTGATTCACATGCGGACTGACTTTGCTAGTGTCCACTTGCCCAACCTGCGTCCAGAAGAAAGAATTGTATCCCTACGTATATTCATCACCCTTCAGAAACTCCAGGAGAGTTGTTACATTGAGTGATTCTCGTTGGCGTCGTTATGATACCTAAAATGATTTAAGCGTATACATACAGTAGAAGACAAATATGTACAAATGTCCCTTAAGAAGTTCATTTTTGCAATTTGCCGATGCGTTACCTTATGGCATGATACTTAAAATTTTCTGACTTGAATCAGTTTGTGTCTGCCAAGTTAGGTTTAGTGCTCTTAGTCTACTAAGCCTGATTCGGGGGATGAAAATGTAACTGTGGCATTCTCTTGGAAGTCGGGGCATCGTTCGTTATCACACCTACTGAAATCTTGTTGTGTCAGATATTGTGCCAGTTTCTTTGAAACATCTATTAAAAAGTAACCTACAAACCTCCATATCATCCTGAAATCAGTGTGATCATTGCGTTTACAAGTTGGATCAGAGCTGAGCGTTTTCAGGAAATGTTTGTGACGTTACCATTTAGACTTGGCTCAGTGTCCTTTCTTTTTTTACAGGCCGAAGATCCTCGCGAAAAGATGCTGCGAAAGCGACTCGCGGGAGCCGAGTCCCAGCAGAAGACAGGTACCGTTTCAAGTTCGGGCACTACTAGTACGGGTGGACCCCCAGCAGCTAAGAAGTATAAGGACTTCAAGTTTTAACGTTTTTTTTTTTTCATTCTTCCTCCATCTCCGTGACTGTATATATCACCGAGCGTTTTGAAATAGCACCGTGATGTTAGAACTTGCTGTGGTTTTGTGGCGATTTTGGTAGTTGGTTGGAGGCAAAATTTGCCCCAAGAGTAAATAAAAATGACTTTTTGGGATATTTATGAGATGGGATGAGGTAAGCATTTCATCCTCCATGGCCTTTGGTTACCGCGTCATGGTGGGATGACGTTGCGTTTATGCTGTCATTTCTGTTGGCAGCTCGTCAGCTCTGCTCTGCTCATGATGAGATTGTCTCTGAACCCCATATCTCGAGGTTTCTTCAGATAAGTTGGAGCAGCCATGGTTACTACCAGCCACTCATCTCTACCGTTTGCGCTTACATATTACAAGCAGGCGTAGTCTTTTAGTTAAATTTACTATTTGTTGGTGTGTTTCGGATATTCTGCTTTTATTTTCGCGACTAATTTGTGCATCAAGAAATCATATGCCTGTAGCGATTTGGTTAATTCAGTATCGAGATTATTAGAACGAATGTCACGATTAGATTGGTTTTTACTTTTTCATTATAAACTTAAAAGTGACGAAAAAGCACTTGCGTAATAATCTTCCAATTGGTTTTTGCAATGTAATCAAGACAGTGGTCAAGGTTACAGTAGCGCCCCGAACGTTCTTTAAAGTCGGCAGAAGTCATAGGAGTGTGGTGAAAGATACACTACCGGTATACAGAAGGGCTGAGGCGAGTGGAAGTACAATGGTTGAGCGTTAAGTGACTGCTTAATCAATAGGCAGTGTTAAACGAAGTATTACAGTTATATCTTAGTGGTTTAATGTTTGTTTTACCGGATATTTATCTACACACTCCTTATTCCTCCTGGTTCCTGCTTCGCTCTTGGCAGCATTGTCTTCGAACCGTGGCCTTAACCCTCCTGCATTTCTCGGCGTTAATGAAAGGTCGTCTTTTGTACTGGTATGGGTTATTTCGAATGTAGGCTTGGCTCAAGTTACTTACTGCAAACACTAAAATAGGATAGGTGGTTTAATTAATGCGTAAAATAATAATATTCTCAACATTGCCTTTTATTATCATTCTACATTTGGTGAAGTTATTTTTGGCACTGCTGCCTAGATTTCCATCCCCCATCGTCTAAGTTTGAGCAATAAAAAAGGTATTTTATTTGATTCATAAAATTCATATATATAACGGACTCCTTTTAGTTGATAAAGCAGTGAATATTTATTTGGTTTCAAGAAATAGAATGATGAGGGGTTTTGGCTACCGGGTTGTCAAAAAAGGGCTACCAAAATTATTCATCATTCTTATGATTAATTTTTTTAACGCCACTATATAAGTTTAATAGAATGTGTTTTTAGCTATAAAGTGCTTGTGTCTGATCTTACTGAGATCTGTGGCGCACTGAATCTTTCCTGAAGACAAAAGAAGTCATAATATTAAGACGAAAAATATATCACTGGCGTACAGAAGGGCTCCTAGAGCTACTGACATGGTTCGGAGGCCATGCTGCCCAGCGGAAGCACAAAAGCCCGTTGCTTAAGTATCCGCGAAACCAAAACGAAGAGGTAACCAGATAAAGTGCTACATTCTCCTCCTCTCATTTTGAGCGTTGTCCCTAGCAATCTCCCGGTCGACACCCCTCATCCGTCGGCACAACGTGGCCGGTGCAATTAGAAAATCACTCACGAACCAACTGCGCCATTCATTGAATTTGGGTGCTCCTGAGAGGATAACTAACAAGTAGCATAGACAGTTCCGTAATGAACTAATTCAGATGGTTAACGAGTAGTTTTGTTTTAATTGTTAATACCAATCCTGCAGAAAACGTGGCTGAGATAGTTGCTGAAGTCGGGCGTCATTTTCAAACCTTTCATTGAGAGTCGTCGCAGATACTGCCGGAGCGTATTCACTTCTTCTGGCTCTCTAGAGTTCGGCCTCTAAAAATGGAAACCAGAGTAGTTATCCACTGGAATCAAGTTGGCTTTCCTTTTGTTTAACTCTTCATTTTGGTTAAGTGAGCACCAAAGTCTCCTCGATTGTACTTCAACTGAGCAACATGGCCCACGTGCCAAGGCAGTAACCCCCCAGTTCCTCTGTCGTCGGTGGTACATTTTCAGGTCCAGCAGTGACTTTTTTTGTCTTCTGGAAGAACTCGGGTCACTACACTGGCTGTTACAACAGGGGTACGGCAGTATGGAAGACGATTTGGCCTTAACGCATAGAAGGACTGGGACACGAAAACGCGTAGTAGCGAGGGCCAATTAACAAAGCACAAGTACAAACTTTGCAGATTGAAGGGTCCTTATAATTAGGTATGCGTTTAAAACAGTATCAAATGACTGTAAAATCTTCCTCTAATGTGCATCATTTTCGGCGCTCCCAGTTTTTGGTTAGTGCATCACTTCTCACGACAGCTACGAATCGAAACTAATTACCCTCCTGATCCATTTGACCTTTGCGTTCACGTCATTTAT